TCAAATCTCCATGACAAGTTAAATGGGAAAGTATTGCAGGATTTAACATGAAAATAAACTCATAAGAAAGTGTTTTTGCATGGTAATACAGTTAGTGCTTAGTGTGGACAATGATACTTTGTTCCTGAATTATTCTGGTGAACTTAAATTAGCTTCCAATGGTATAGGATGAAGGATTCTTTAGGTGTGAGGCAGGAAAATATGTAAGAAGCTTTGACTGCTCCAGAACCAGGTAGGAACAACAGACGTAACTTTTCAGTAAACTGGGATAGCTTATATTGCAACACGCTGAGATGAGTTCTTGGTTTGGAAAGGTGTATTTCTATCAAATGTGATAGATAGATCTCTCTTAAACATACTGTTGTGAGATTTTGGCAGCTGCTGTTGGCGTATGCTAAAATGAGCTGAAAGAACACTGTAGTATTTGAGCAAGAAAGCCTGCCAAAGAAGTGTAGCGACAGTTTCTAAATGAAGCCATTAGGGATGGCATCATCAGTTCCATCAAATCGATGATGGACATGTTGCAGAGATCTCTTGTAAGAAGGTGCAGATACTTTGCTAGAGGCTATAAAGACTCGGGCACAGGGGTTCAATATTGTCCTTATGATCAGAGGACAAGCTTGAAGCTTGAATGGTTTAGTGAAAGAGGAGACATGAATTTATGTCCAGTATTATTAACCCTTCATGCTTATATTATGGATAATTTTATGTAAGTTGCTGTCATGTTTAAGCAAACAGCTTTTAAGACAGAAATCAGTTACTGCTTTTTCAGATGTCTGTAATTCCACCATTACAAAAAAGAAAACTGATTTTGAGTATGAAGAAAATATTTTTATTTAGTCTTGTTTCTCAGTTTGTGAAAGTCATTTGTACTGGCTATAATTTGGCATTTCACTGGCAACGATTTCAGTAATATTTCATAGAAGTATTTAAAATGGAGTTTAATGAGTTAATGGAGTTAATAAGTGTCTCTAACTTTTTGAATTTTTGTTTACTTGAAAACACTGAAAACCTTAATTAGCAGTGTGGTGCTGCAGTACTAACTGGTGGAAATATTTATAAAAAATCTTCGTTGTGTGTTTTTTTTTTTAAATAGGTACGAATCTCCAGAAATTGCTCTAAATTGTGGAATAATGCTTAGAGAATGCATCAGGCATGAACCACTTGCTAAAATAATCTTGTGGTCAGAACAATTCTATGATTTCTTCAGATATGTGGAAATGTCAACATTTGACATTGCTTCGGATGCATTTGCCACCTTTAAGGTAATTTGCATGCAACATTTGACTTGTTATTTCGTTAGTTCTCTGCTATGTGAACCCAGATGATGTGTGTTATGTTCTTGGGCAAAACAAGTCCAGGGAGAGGTATAAAAAAAACCGGTGTGATGCAAATGGGTAAACTGCATACTGTTCTTTCTGGTTTCTCAGAATGCAAGGTATTCCTTTAAATATATATACGCTATGTCCCCAATAATTTTTATTCTAGAAAGCAAGATTTAAACTATCATGCGATAGCTGAATACATGTGCATTTCCATGCCAGGGGCTTTTAAATCTCTTGTCTCCCAACTTCTCAAGTGAGCAAACTCATTTTTGTTCCGTTAGGAACCTGAGTATATTTGATGTTGATGCTTTGTCTGGGGAAATTTTTTTTGGACCTAAAACAACCAGTTATGGAACTATAAGCATAATATTGATCAGTATTAAACAGTGGGTCTTAACCTTGGTTGTGTATAGTTCTGTGCAGAGCACAGCCTTGATCCATAAATGGCATTCTTCAGGGATAATTCCACAGGCTATTTACTTGTGTCGATTAACATACCACATAGCAGGCCTTTCCTCAGAGATGCCAAGATCCTTAGCAATGTCCAGGTAACTGCATTCATATCCTAAATGTCTTTGTTTAATGAAATAGGAAAATTTTCTATGGGATATCTTATATGTACTCACTCTTTAATAAGAATGTGTACGTACTGTTTAACTATTTTAGTGAAAATACTGGTTTTGTGCTCTTTTACAGGATTTGCTTACAAGACACAAGTTGTTAAGTGCAGAATTTTTGGAACAACATTATGATAGGGTGAGCAGATACATTTTAATATTCAGAATTTTCTAGTGCTGTGTATCTTATTTGAAGAAATCAGTACTTTAATTGCTTAGCTTTTGTTTTGGAAATCTACACACAGTAGTAAACCAATTGAACTTATGGTAATTTCTGCCAAGCAGTAAAATTAAGATCAAGGCCTTATTGTTGAATGTAGAAAGGTATGAAAACAAGAGAAGGCGGCAGAAATCTAATTCTGTGAAAACTAGATCTGAATTTTCCGCTAGAGGGAACCCTTTCCTTGTCTTTTTCTTTTGTCTGTATTAACCCTTAACAACCAAAGAATACAAGATAGCCCTCCTCCACCTGCTGGGGACTCCTGAAATTAATGAACAGTGTTCAGTACCGGTACCAGGAACTACTGTAGTTTAAGAAGTAATGAGATAACTACTTCCATCACGTTACGATCTAAACGTTAAATAAATTTCTTTTTTTAAAGCACATACAGTGTTTAAACACTAGTGACTTACAGGAACCTACTGAGATTTCAGATTTTGTTTTCATTTTTGGTATGGATTTGCATCTCTCCCAGTTTGTTATAATCATTTGGCAGAAGAGTGTGCATATGGCACTTGGAAAGGTCCTAACCCTTCTCTTTATTCTGTGCCTAGTTCTTCAGTGAATATGAGAAGTTACTTCATTCAGAAAATTATGTGACAAAAAGACAGTCACTTAAGGTAAGGCAATTTTATTTTCTTCTTAAATTCAAAGTTAGAGAATTTCTTTAATTTAAAGGTGGGTTGACTTCAGTAACTGCCTTAGATTGAGTTTATTTTAATTTTTCATATGTTTTAATTCTTGGGATCAGCTAGTTTCCTTTAGTCCAGTCCTTCCATTATTTAGTGTCCAGCACACACCAAGTCATTTATCTCCCTATTCAGAAATAGCTATATGCAAGTATGTTTATTTTTGTTGGGGTTTTCCTTCAACAAATCTGGGCACGTTTAAGTAATTTAAGAAAGATTCATGTGGTGTGACTAGAGCAATACTAATCTTACATTCAAGTAGGTCAGAAATAGTGAATGTAAATATAATACACAACTTGTAGCAAGAGCAAGGGTGGTACTTGTGGGGAGTAACTTTTTACTGCCTTCTGGACAAAGAAGGGAGAAAAAGAAGTGTAAAAATTTCTTATTTGAAGTAATAACTCTTTTTGGTTTGTTTTTTAAAACCACATTTTTGTTGGTGATGTATAGCTTCTGTATAAATTAAAAAAACGCATGAAATCATGGTGACAAAAGAATGAAAAAAGACTTTTTAAATTCCGGTTCATAACGAGGGGGGAACAAAAGGTGGTTTTTCACTTGTTCAGAAAAAGGAGAAACTGCATCATCGAAATAAGAGCAAGATGCACCCTGCACTTAGAAATTCAGAACATTTGAGTTCTGTTGTTAGTATATTTATAGACTGGTGTCAACTACTCAGTGTGTTTGAAAGACTTACGAAAAAGTTGTTTCTTGTGTCCAGTGTCAGTCATTTTTTCATTCGGGCTTGTTTTCTGCATTTAGCTTCTTGGTGAGTTGTTACTGGATAGACACAATTTCACAATTATGACAAAGTACATCAGTAAACCTGAAAATCTCAAACTTATGATGAACCTTCTACGAGACAAGAGTCGTAACATTCAGTTTGAGGCCTTTCATGTGTTTAAGGTATGTTTAAAAAAAAACCCACAATAAAACAAACAACAAAAGAACCCCATCAGAAGTTGTTTAGCTGAGTAAACTACGTAGCTGAGCCTAAATGAAGCTTACCTTAATGTCTGCTAAGTGGTTAAATAGAGAGCTAAGGTTTGTCTTTATTATGATCCATCTTTATATAAATAGCTACCTTTTGTATCTTTTGAACATCGTTTAGCAACCACTTAGGGACTTTCATATGATTGTCAGTGTAATCTCTCAGAAAATTTTGGAATCAAGAAAGATGAAGTGCAGTAAGATGAGGAATGCATGATTTCATGTGAAATCATGAAGCGTCTTGGAGTTCAAAAGTATTTTCATCATGTCGCGTGATCTATGAAGGATAGCAGTATTGCAGTTGTCGCCAAAATTTCAAAGCCTGAATTGTAGTTTGCACATTATAACAGGTACCTTCTGACTTTGCAGCAGGCAAGCAAATAGCTAAGAGCTTAGAGATACAATTTGAGCTATAAAGTTTTCAGTGAACGTTAAGATACCCATCTGATGCTGTATATAATATGAAACCATGTATTTGCTACAGAATTTAACTGTGAGGTGTCTTCCGTGGTTTCTGCAGAGGGTGTTCTGGCTGATCGCCTCCCACAAATTGAATTTACTTTGGTACTGGTGTTCTGTTTCTAATAAAAAGGGAGCAATTTTATTTTAAAACTTGCATTTACTCCATTATTTTTAGTGTAAAGATACTGGAGTACAGAATAATTAACACACAAGTTATTGTCATCACGGTTTTGTTGGCTAGGTTTGTTTTTTAAGTTAGCCTTCTATTTCCTACTATTATGCTAAATGCCTTTTGTTTTCTTGCAGGTGTTTGTAGCCAATCCTAACAAGACACAGCCTATATTAGACATCCTTCTAAAGAATCAGACCAAACTTATTGAGTTCCTCAGCAAGTTTCAGAATGACAGGACCGAGGATGAACAATTTAATGATGAGAAGACCTATTTAGTTAAACAGATCAGGGATTTGAAGAGACCAGCGCAGCAAGAAGCTTAATCTCCAATAAACCCTTAAAATATTAAACCCAAATTCAGCATTTGCTGTTAGATAATTCAGCATCAGGCACTCTTATCGATTCATGAGGAACATTACTGCTAATCTGCTGTTCAGTGAACGGTTTTTGTTTTTCTCTTTTCTTTTTTAGTCCAAGTTGAAAAACATAGCTGCTGCTTTCTTGCACAATGTGGACTTTCTTGATATTTGTGTCATTTCAGAATTCAAAGACACTGCTTGTTTTAGGAGACCTGAAAAGAAAGATTCTAGGTCGTGAAAGCAAACGTATAGATACTAGTTTGGTTTAGGAGAGAAGGTATTAATGTAGTTAAGTAACAAGGTTGCATGCTTGCAAATCTGAATAAATCTGTATGTTTGCACTTACCTTGTTTGAGATATGAGCACAATGTGACCTGTGCATACCTGGCACCGTAGTTATAAGATTATATGCCTTGATTAAAAAAAAAAGCGCAGTGCTTTATTTGTAATCAAAGGGGAAATGTATCTAAGATGTCAGCTTATTGGGATAAACAGTTGTCTTGCAAATAAACTGATACTGAAACTTAGCAACTTTTAAAAGAGTGAAATCTCAAGGTTCGTAAGGAAAATGTATATATGCCTTTCACTGCTTTATAGAATTTTTTTGACATGATTTGATTTTTCTGAGAATTGACTTGTAAACTTGGAAATATGTTCTAAGGTTTTTTGTTAATTTTACTTTAAAGTTATTTCAGACAGTAGACCTAGCAGTGACATTTTGCATTTCATTTCAACAATGCTTGCTGGTTTCTTTTGTATATAACTCCTAGGCTGCTCATTTCTTTAAAATATGATTTAATTTGTACAGCAGAGGAATGTTGTTGTATTAGTCTGTAACTATTACCTAATATTGAATTTTGCAAAATGAATGCTCATATGTAATTGAATACTTCAGATCACATGGAAATGCTGATTTAACAATCTTAAGTACTGCAGCATTAAAAGGAAAAAACAAACAAACATTCTTTGTATTCGCTTGTCTAATGGGGTGCCACCAGTTAGGGTAGGCTGAAATAGAGAACTGGAACCCTTTATACTACATTCTTACTGGATAATATTGGCCTTATTCAATTAATCTAGCATTGTGCTCACCAGCTCTGCAAATGGCAAAGATTATGCTAAATTAATATCGATTCCTCTTACTTTGGGGAGCCTGCAGTGCATCATTTCTTTCTTACAGTAAATAACTCAGTACAGTAGTTTGTGAAAGTGAATAATTTAATTCCCTCCACCTTCAAGAAACAATTTCATAGATGTCCTAGGGTAACAAAATGATTTAATTTTGTTGATTTTGTTCTTTAATGCTGCAAACTATCAGTATTTATAAAAACAAAAAAAACAACTGATTTTGCACCATGTTTTTGTTACTGTGACCATACAAAAGGAATCTATTAAGTATAGCTAAATGATGTTATTAAAATTGTATCTAGCCATCATATAGTAACGCTAAGATCACAACCAAGCAAACTTAGGGATTGGAGTCTGAAAGTTCAAATTCTGCATGGCTGAATCTGGTTGAGAATGCTGTAGAAAATGTTTGTTGCTTCCTGTCCTTTTCCTGATTAAAATATTGTGCAATCAGCAGGATGAAACTCCTAAGTGATGTTTAAGCCCATTTGAAAGCCGACACAAGGGAAGTCAGATAGCTCCAGAAAATTGAGTGGTTTCACTCAGTTTAAAAAAATTCGCCTTAATATTATAATTGGTCTCTTAAAGGTTCTTAAATGTGTCCTTTGCAGATACATTTGGCCTACAGGAGCGAAAATAGCTTATTCTCACCGAAGATCACTTCCACAGGCAGGCAGAATTGGCCATGAGGTGGTATTGTAGTTCAGTACTAACAGTCTATTGTATTTTGGTTTATCATAGCTGAGTGGGGGAAAACATTATTTGCCAAGTTACTCACCATAACACATAAGGCTTCCCCTTTAGAAAAATGTAGATGTGCTAAAGATTTATATATGTAAAGAAGTGAAAACATTTGGACTGGGACAGAGGTTACTCTATATTAGGCCTTGGAAACAATGGCTATGGTGACTTTTTTAATATGTGGAAACATTTGAATGTTGGCTTTCGAAAAGAAGTTGTATTTAAATTCAAGCTCATTTGACGTGCTCTTCGTATTAAAGAACTATTGTTCTGGCAGTGGTTTCTTATCTGCTTGAAGGCTTAAGGGTATTACTAAAAGTTATTTAAATGTGAGCGGTTTTTGGTTTTGCCTTTTTTTTTTTTTTTTTTTTTTTTTTAAATAAGAGATGTATACAATTGTAATTCTACTTCCATGGTAGCATTTGATTTCTCCTGAGGAAAATGCGTTTCTTATCCAAAAAATCTGGCTGGCCCCATAATTTAAATTGAAATAAAATTTTGAAGAAAAACATGTGTTCTTTACTGTGTTACTGAAGAGCATGAGTTTCTTGTGGATGTGTATCTGCTCTCCTTTATTGCCTTAGAGGGGTTCAGCTTTCTTGCTTTTAAATGTGAAATCACTTTAAACGATGAAAAATTCTGTCTTGCAAAAACATTTTTAAGGAATTAAGACAACGTGCTGTATTAGAGATATAATCAGTTTTAATTGTTGGTAGCCCCTCTTGCCTCTTTGCAGCATTATTTGTTGATTCTGTTCCTTTATTGCATGGCCAAGGGCAGAGAGGGGAGATGCTATTTCCTGCGTCACGTCTAGAGACAGGACCCGTTGGGATTAGTGGAAGTGAATCCTTGATAATTTTTGGCCCTTCCCTTCTCTCCAAATTTTAGGAGCCAAAAATGCGTGCAATTGGTAACTCGTCTGCCTCTGTCCATTTTTCATGGGTAACACCCCAAGTTAGGCAGGGTGGCTGGCAAACCTTGAGAGACTGTTACAAAACCCCCCCAAACGTTCAGGTGTGTTTGATGCAGATTCTTCAGATGGTTTTGTTTAGCAAATTTGATGAAATACCTGGTTTCCCACCAGGAACGTAATTACCTTGCAGACAAATATTTGGTCTTTTATAGCCCCCACAGGCTACACCTGTTTTGAACCTTTTATAGAAAATGGTAGTGTTTTTCTCCCTCACTGATGGTAAGATCACAGGTTACAAGGGGAAGGAATCATTTATACTTGTAGTCAAACAAATTGCAAATGAGCGGTCAAGTTGGGTACTTGACTGGGTGTTTGGATGAAAGAGCCTTGATGGGAGGAGGCACGGGACACGCAAGGACATGTTGTGTTGACTTTTTAAAATTTGTGTTCCCTGCAGAGTTGATCAGCAGGACCTGCCTTAGGAGCTGCCATCTCTAGGAACTGGAGTAAAAGGTGCCCTCGGAGCCATGGGAGCAGGTCATGGACAAAGCTGCTTTCAGTAAGTTTGCTTCAGTCTGTGGCCTGCCAAGGCATTCCTAGCAGGCAACTTCATCGGTTTTCCTTTTGCTGCTGCCCTTTTCCCACCCCCTTTATTCTAGACCTTTGCTGCCTACTTTGTTGGATGATGTTCCTGTCCTTAGTGCTTTCTGTGGCTGTTCACTTGAGCTGGTACCATCTTGTTGGGTGCAGCGCTTTTATTTTCTATCATCATTTTGGTTATTTCTCGCGATAGATCTGTACTCCTTTCTCCAAACGTTTTGGCTTTTGTAAGGCTGTTCTAAGTGCTTGTTTTTTTAGCTTTTCAGCATAGTATAATTGGAGTTGATGGTTAGTATCATAATGAGGGGAAAAAAAAAACCCTGCTCTTTTGCATGTTATCTCTTTAAATCGGTGTTGAGCTTAATCTGAGCGCATTGAACTTGTGAAGAGTTGTTTCCAGTGTATGTTTTTACAAGTGTACTTGGGTAGATCCAGTTTAAATCCCATGTGACTGGAGGCAGGGCTAAATATATTTAAAAAATCAAAATATTAAAAGAAGTTAAGGGGGAGAGGGACAATTCAATATATTGCATTCTTTGAAGGAAATTGGCTACTTCGTGAGAGAAAAGACCTGTTCTGCTTCCTATTTAAAGATAGCTGTTGACTCACCTCTATTAAAAAAAAAAAAACACCACCACAAAACACTGAGTTACGCAGCCAGCTTATAATTCTTTTTTTTGTAAGTGTGTTGTATTCACAACAAAATATAAAGGCAAGCTCTTTTTTAAAGGGCTGATACTGGAGGTTGTTTTACACAACAAAACTAAGGATATTTTGTTCCTTGCTCAGAAATACCCTGGCCAGAGCTGGCTTTCTGTCACTTTTCTTTCATAAATGGACCTTTTCATGCTAAAGATTTCCTCACCATGTGTTGCTGGAGAGTTTTCCAGCTGTGGTGTGGTGGGGCTGAGCGTAACTCCGGTACACAGGATAGCATAGGTGACGCTAGCCAGATTGCCTCGGGTGCCCAGTAACGGTAGCACTAAAGGATCGATCAAGAGGGCATGTTTGGAGTGAAGGATCTGTCTGGAAAAAAAAAAGTGATAAATATATATGCTACTTTTTATATTTGTTGGAACAGCTATGTATGTACTATTTAGGATAAATGATTACAACTGGAGTAGTCTGCTCTCCTTGCCTAAAATTAAATCAACAATATTTTTGTGAAATTTTTTTTTTGTCCATTTCTCCCACAGCAAATTCCTTGTACTGAGCAGTCATGGAGGGTCCTGTTGGAGTTCTTGTTTCCTCCTCTTGGAGGCCTTTGGGAATGCCTCACATCCTACTATGAAGAAACACATGATAAAAATGTGAGTGTTGCTTAACAAGGTTCTAATCTTAAAACAGATGTTGAACTGAATTTAGTATTGCTTAGTGTTCTTTTGAGACTTGCAGGAGAGGAGTAGGTTTGCATTTAATTTGAGCAAAAAACAAGAAAAGAAACTGTATAGGTTTTTAGGGCTGTTTTGGCAAGTGTAGGAATTTTGTGTATTCTAAAATTAATAAATAAGCCTTTGTAACTATAATTCGGGGCATCTAAATAAGACATGCAGTACATGTAGTGTTTATAAACAGGTGAGGTGTTTATACTTTCAGCCTTGACTGACGTAAATTAAATCTCCCTTGGCTACACGTTACCCTTTTGGTAATTAGTAACATTGACAGCTGTGCACAGGTGGTTTTATAGTTTGTAGTGTGCTCTGGTATAAGGTTCATATGTGAAAAAGCAAAGTAGGCTAAATTTGTGGGGAGGTGAGTTACTGACAGTTCTAGACATCCCAGTTCCAAAGAGAAAATTCTCATTTTACTGATAAAAATGTGCAAAACCTACGAATTGCTAATAATTGCCTTGATATTTATGTTGGCTGATGGCTCTTCAAAATGAGCGCTAAACTGCAGTGTGCTAGGCGGGTAACACCCAAGGTGAAATATTAGTGTGTGGCTTGTGGTTTCAGCTCGTTTCCACCAGCTGTAGAGGCTGCTGCCAGCTCCTGGGCAGGGGAGAGTTGGCGCTGCCGCAGGTACAGCTGCCCCTTGCTCTGCAGTCAGCTTTCTGCGGTCTTCCGGCTGACCTGGCTGTTGCCTCATCCCACAGACTCCTTCCACATCAGACATAAACCTCCAGGAAAGAGAACGTGGAGCAAGACAGGGGCGGTGA